CTGAATAGGGCTACAGAGGATAGAACATGGAAGACTCATTCAGAGGGTCACCAGGAGTCAGAGCCAACTCAACAGCATATCACACACACACCATTGAGCCTAATCCCTTACCAGGATGCTGTTCTGACAATGCCCACATGAGGATGCTATTGAGCCTAATCCCTTAGTAGGGTGGTGTTCTCACAATGCCCACCAGAAGGCGCTATCAGAACCAATCCCTTCTAGGGTGCTATTCTCTAAATGCCCAGGAGAGGGTGCTATTGAGCCTAATCCTTTATTGAGGTGTTGTTCTCAGAGTGTCCGCAAGAGGGCGCTATTGAGCCTAATCCCTTGCTAGGTCTCTGTTGTCAGAAATGTCCAAAAGACGGCAGATTAAAAATGGCCACAGTGTAAAGGGAGGGTGCACAGACATACTCCCTGACCAAACTGGAAGCACAACTAGAACACGAAAAGACACCCGCTGAAGAACTAGCTGGAGCTCAGTGAGAACCAAGGACAGAATGTGCGGACCGCATAGAGGCTGGAAGGAAGGATGGAATTGCGAAAGGGCTGGCGGGGCTCCCACAGACAGCAGCTGAAGTTTCAGAGAGAGATCTCCTCTGTGGAGGGTTCCCCCTGAGAACTCTGGGTCATGACCCCAGCTGGCACCCCAGCAGAGAGCCCCAGAGCTGAGACCGGTGCCCACGTACCATCTGCCTGTGAACAGCAGCAGGAATGCTGTCAGGAGAGACAGCTCTTCATATTCCAGTAGTTTCTTCTCCTTTAAAAAAAATTATATATACATATATATAAATTATATATAAAAATTATATATATATAAATATATATATATAAAATTAAATATATAAATATATATATATATCATTGATTTTTTTACAGAGAGAAAGGGAGATGGATAAAGAGCTAGAAATATGGATGAGAGAGAAACATTGACCAGCTGCCTCCTACACACCCCCTACCCGGGATGTGCCCACAACCAAGGTACATGCCCTTGACCGGAATCGAACCTGGGACCTTCCAGTCCGCAGGCTGAAGCTCCATCAACTGAGCCAAACCGGTTTCAGCTGTGGCTTCTTTTTTGCAGTCAGTCCGTCTCCTGTTTGCTCTTCCTCTTTTCTCGCTGCCTTCTATTTCCCCAGCATTCTTTCCTTCCCCTAAGAGCCCTGCCTTCCATGGTGAGCCGCCAGGAGGACAGCTCCAGTTTTGTCATTTTCACCTCCAGTCATGTTTCAGGCTTCATCTGCTCCAGGAGCCACTTGTCTGTCCGACAGTTTTTCGTGTAACGAACCTTATTTTGTCTGTCAGCATCGGTTATCTGAGATGCATTCCCAGGGTAAGGTGTTTTTAAAAACGTAGAGAAAATACCAATTGTTTCTGACTCTAAGGTGCTCCTTCCTTCTCCTGCTCCCAACCCTCCTTTTCCCCCCTCAGCTCAGTCTCCCTTCTGAACATTAGGGCAGAAAGAACCTAAAACCCTGAAGATCTGAGAAAGATGGAGGTTTCGTTACTACCCTGTTTCCCCGAAAATAAGACAGTGTCTTATATTAGTTTTTTTCTTCCAAAGTTGCGCTAAGTCTTATTTTCAGGGGATGTCTTATCTTTCCATGCGCTAGGTCTTATTTTCAGAGGATGTCTTATTTTCGGGGAAACAGAGTAAGCCTTCCAGTAATCTTTCTGTAAGACTTCCACCTGCCAATTACAGGTGCATCTCATTTCTCTTCTCAAAGACACCTACACGTTAATTTCTAAAAGTTTAGAGCTGTGGTCGGCAGACTCATTAGTCAACCAAGCCGAATATCAACACTACAACGATTGAAATTTCTTTTGAGAGCCAAATTTTTAAAACTTAAACTTCTCTAATGCCACTTCTTCAAAATAGACTCGCCCAGGCCGTGGTATTTTGTGGAAGAGCCACACTCAAGGGGCCAAAGAGCCGCATGTGGCTCTCGAGCCGCGGTTTGCTGACCGCTGACCGAGTATATGCTGTGTTGAGTATTAGTTTCATAAGTTTGAGTGCAAGCTTTATTTGAGTGAGAATTCCAGCATTCGCCTCCTTCAACCCGATTTCAGGCCTAGAGTTTTAGGAAATGACGTTAAAATGGGCTCCTGTGCAATCTGCTATAATTGTTCATCTTCCTTTTCCTCTGTCCATAGTGTCAGGGAGAAGCTGTGATGAATAGAGAGAGCATAGACCAGGCATTTGGAAGTTGGAGAGCTAGTCACTGATGTGATCAAATTTATTGCTTACGATTAGCTAATACCTTTAACATCTTTGAGCCTCAATTTTCTTCTCTATAAAATGATGACTAAAAGGGGGGAAAAATGACTAAGTATTTAGAGGCTGAAGTGTGTATTTTTATAGACCTTATCACTTAACATATTATTGTAGCAACACAATTGTGATAGCTTTGAAAACAGATATTTGCATGTATATGTTATGGAATCCCTAATAAAAATTCCCCATTTTAATATACCAATCTTTACTGGGATCGAAGCAAAAACCGTAGGCCTATTATTCACAATAACCCTGTGCTTTTCCTAGTGAAATAAATAGCTGTCCTAACACTGAAGAACGTATGAGAACCTTAGTGCAATCTTTAAGTTTGGCAATTAAGCATTACTATTCTTGTATCATAAAAATTTATAAAAGATTTAGTATTTATTAGGGAAAGAGTTGAATTAGTCTGACATGAGTAATCTGAGATCTGTCAAGGACAGGGCCATTTATAATCTGTGCATGTCATTAAAAACTGGCTGCTTTTGCAAGCAATACTAAATCTAACCCCACTCTGTAACTTGTAAAAATTTGAAATTTGAATGTGATAACAGATTAGCCATTTTAACAGCAGCTGAGGCGCTCTCTGATGCTATACTGCCCTCTTGTGGCCAATATGGAGAAGTGCAGCCTGAGGAGTTGCTTTTAGTTTTTTCTTTCCTCTGCTGCTTTATTTTGCCGTGCTTTACATATCCTTGTATGCTGCCTTAAAAATTTTATGAAATAAAGCAAAATCTAAGCAAGTAAAACGTTATAAGACAAGCAGTGTTGCCTAAGGTTAAAGATAAGTGTTTGAAGACCAGTCTGCCTGGGTTCCCATTACCAGCTGTGAGAATGAGGAAAGTAACTTGGGCTTCCCACACCGGCTCCTCCTCATCTATAAAATGAAGTAACTCTAGCCCTGGTGTTATTACGGGAATTAAGAGAGTCCATATATGGGAAGGACTAAGAACAGGAGCTGAAACAGTGAAAGTGAGAGCACCAAGTTAAGTTACAGCCCATTCTCAAGGTCAGCGTGACAGAAATTCTCAGATCTCCTCAGACCACGCCCAGACAGCATCTCCTTGGTGAAGAATATTTGGCACAAAACACAGAGACTGAAACAGCAACCACATTGAGCTATGATTGTGTCTCTTTCCACCGAGTAGGTTAAGTCGTGGACTGTGAATGCTGTACATGGGGCCTCAAGGCCCCTCCATTTGCCTCTCTATCTCACCATTGGGGAGCTTGGGCCCAAGAGAAACTCCCTCTCCTGTCACATTTCCAGCCCTTCTCAACAAAGGTGGTCCCATGATCAATCTATTCCCGGTGGCATTGTGGTGCTGAAACGTGCGTTTGCAGGAAATTCATTCTGAAGTAGAACAGAGAAGCCGCCCTACCCTCTCTCCCCGACCCCTACCCCCCCCCCCAAAAAAAAAAAAAAATCAACTTGAGCACCCTGGTCAGCTGGCTCAGTTGGTTGGAACTCCATCATCTTGTACACCTAAAGGCTGTGGGTTCAACTCCTGGTCAGAGCACACATCTAGGTTGCAGGTTTAATCCCTGTCCCTGTGAGTACAAGAGGCAGCCAAACAATGTTTCTCTCTCACATCCATGTTTCTCTCTCACAAGTCAATAAGCATGTTGAGTGAGGATTTTAAAAAAGATTTTTTTTTTAAAGTCGACGAGCTATCTCAAGAAATATACTTCTCTTGGCTGAGAGTGGTATCTCCCAAGGGTATCTGCTGGTGGTTGGGGAGGGGTTGTTCTTTACACATTTTTAAATAAGAAAAGTATAAAACTAAACATGCAAGCTACCTTAGGAAATAAAAAGCAGTTATTTCATGGGGGGGGGGTGTTCTAATTACCTACAGAACTCATTCAAAAAATAAGCTCAAATTTCCAAACGCAGTAGTAAAAAAAAAAAATGAATTTGCTACAAAACAAAACCATATAACAAACGTACATTTATTTTATTTACAAAGGAGCAGAGTATACTGTAATGTGGAACAAAAGAGAAAGATAGGCATACATATTTACATAGTAAGTACAGGAAAAACTTATGAAGGTTCTTTAAATACTAGCATTAAGTGAGTTTCTAAAAAATAATTATCACCTTCAGGAAGAATTTTTAAGAGGCTCAACCTATGTGACTCCCGCTATGACTATCTGAGTGAAACCATTACATTCTTTAAAAAATCTCCCAAGTTTCTGGAGAAAAAACCAAAATCACTACCAGTTTTAAAAAGATTCAAAGGCTCTTAAATCAGGATGTCATAATTGCTTTAAGAAATTTTTTAAAAACTCAAACATATACTATCATTTGCTGAGTGATACAATACAGACTTAGCTTATATTAATTTCTTAATCCACTGCAATGGTTTCTATTATCTTACAATGAGACCGTACTGTTCTCTAATAAGAAACATGAAGTCATTTGCTACTTTGCTCTTAGAAAAACCATTCCAAGTGTGTATTCAGCTTTAAATAACATTAACATACATGTGGGGGGAAAAATCAATATTATATCTAACAATCATCTGTAACCAGCTAACTGCTGGATCTTCCAAAACCAGAGACGGGTATTCTTAAAAGTCAAGACTTTTCAGACCTCTGCACTAATACATCCTGGCACACAGACTTCATTTACTTCCATTAACAGAAGATTAACATGCAGTGAAAGACATGCTGGCGTATCTCTTCACTTCTCGTGACACCTTTTGTGTTTGTCGGTTCTTCCTTTAGGTCACTGCCCTTTTGACTGTGGAGTGTGATGTCCAAACTGAAATAAAGCAAAGGTTTAACACAGATATTATTCCAATGTTTAAAAAAAAAAAAATGGCAATACTGGCACCAAATGACCTCGTGAGGTGTAATTCACTCAGCAATGAAGTTATGAGAGTGGGCTACGAGTCAGGCTCTGCACCTGAAACTACACTAAAAGATGGGCTCCTTTTCTAAGACGCTCTAGTTGACTGGAGAGAAAATGCTGAGAACAGTGAACAGACAACTCTGCAATACCTCATTAACCCACTGTCGCTGGGAAACAGTATGTTCTGTTCAGTATATTCCGTTACCCACGCGAATTTCTTAGGTAACCGAAGATCGTGAGCATCCTGGAATTTTAATAAAGCACGTTCTAGTCACTGCTCTGACAATCAGGTGTGGGGTTACGGGCAGATGACTTAAACACCCGGAGGTTCATTTTCCTCATGTGTAAAGTAGGTAATAGTATATAGCCTGGAGATTTTCTATTTGTATTTTTAGGATATTGCTGTTATGAGATGGGAGGGGGGAAAAAAACCCCTCAAAATTAGAATTAAGCCTAAATTTTAAAAAGATACTTCAAGTAAGGAAAAAGCTTAAGGGTCAAGCGTGTGAAATACAGTGTGGCCCTTTGAAGCAACCAAGAAGCTCTGTCACTAAAGGTAATAAGGACCCCATTTGTTTTAAAAGCACAGTTAACGTTCTCTCTGACTAAATAGACAAAGTCTACGTTTGACTGAAAACCACGGAGCATTGGCATGTGACTGTGGTCCGTGAGAACCTGTCGCTGCTTTCCTGTGCTCCGCCCTAAGCTTCAGGCACCCAGTTCACACCGCAGACAGCGACGTGAGCAACGTGAGCAAGCAGCTGTCCAGGATGAACCGTTGCCAATTTGTGCGCATATTTTTCAAATCAAATGTTTTATTTAAAAACTTTATAGAAGGCGAAAAGCTAAAATGAGCATGTAGCCGAAACCAGTTTAGCTCAGTGGATAGAGCGTCAGCCTGTGGACTGAAGGGTCCCAGGTTCGATTCCTGTCAAGGGCATGCACCTTAGTTTCGGGCACATCCCTCATGGGGGGTGTGCAGGAAGCAGCTGATTTGAAGTTTTTCTCTCATCGATGTTTCTAACTCTCTACCCCTCTCCCCTCCCCTATGTAAAAAAAACAATAAAATATATATATTTTTTAAATGAGCCTGTAAAAGCTAACAAAGGCAGAAACACGAGCAGCACCAACAAATGACTGTGTCCCAAGCACAACACACTGGCAGCTGGCATGCAGCCCACCGGCCGCAGATGTGGCATGCTTGGGTAGCCCGTTCTGCATAATTACTTTAAGAGAACTTGAAGACAAAGATATGTCATAAATAATACACTTTAGAAAAGCTGAAAAATTAACTTTACATTGTTAGAGCTCAGCCTTGAGGTTTCTGGACTAGAAAAGGGAGAAGATTCCCAAGACCTATTTTCTTTCTCGAAGGAGTCATCTTCTTGGAACGCAAATTTCTGCTTCAGTGCCTGGGAAATTAAAGACACCGGGTCCCACTGCGAACTATGTCTTTTCCTCCTATGGATGGGTCTGCCTCCAGGTGAACTATTTAAAAAAAAAAAAAAAAGTTAATTAATTAAAATTTGTGTAATTGAAGGTCCTTCTTAACAAGCATAGCAGAAATATAAGCATAATGTATTACAATCCAAGAGAGTGAAAAAAATTTTTTTTTTTTTTTACCACAAATCAGAAAACCAACTGGGGCTCTACACAACCTTGTTATGACCTAGGACTTATCAAAAATCTCTGTGCTGGCCCTAACCAGTTTGGCTCAGTGGACAGAGCATCGGCCTGTGGACTGAAAGGTCCCAGGTTCAATTCCGGTCAAGGGCATGTACCTTGGTTGCGGGCACATCCCCAGTAGGGGGTGTGCAGGAGGCAGCTGATCGAGGATTCTCTCTCATCGATGTTACTATCTCTCTTTCTCTCTGTAAAAAAAAATCAATAAAATATATATATATTTTTTTTTAAATTGAAAATTATTCTCTGGGAGGGGTATTTGGGGTGAATGGAAATAAAAGATGTATATAGGTTTAGTTTGATAAATACAAATTTTTAAAACATTCTTGATAAGATGTTGATTCATTTCTCAAATTATGACAACATACCGTTCAATAGCACGAAGTTTAATCTTATTCAGATCCTTTAGAACGTCCAACATGTTGGGAACATCTTTGTTTTTCTGGTGTTTTGAAGGACAATTATAACTGGTCTTACTGGCACCGGGATGCTGTTTTTTCATTTCAGTCGCTGTATTATCTGAGTCACAACTATAAGTATATTCTGGCTGCACAGGAGAACATGGAGGCTGCAGAGAAGAAAACTGAGGGGGCAGAGGAGGTGGAGGAGGAGGCGGAGCGGGAAGCACTGAACTTGAAAATGGATCTGGTCTGACACTCAGCTGAGCAGTTCCTGATGATGGCACTTGTCCCAAACCACCAGCCCCATCGGTTGAGTCAAAGGAGCCTAGAAAACAAAGCAGCCTGTTGAAAAACCATGCAAAATTCTCTTTAACATAACAGTAATCAAAACCAAAACAGAAACAATTTCCGTAATGCTGCTAAAATAAAAATGTGGCCAGAAAGGAGAAGCAATCCCATCTGTTTAGGCATTTCTGTTAAGAATCAAACCAAACAGGAAATTTACTTTTAATCCAGATATGATTCTCTGTGCCGGCCCTTAAAAGTGGGAATAGGAAGAAACACTTCAAAGAGAAAGTAAAAAAGTGCTTTTTTTCAGTAATCTACATACAATCTAAATTTCATCCTCTATTTTAAAAAGCTAAAACATGACCAAGAACTTACAGTAGAAACACTCAGAATGGTATCTCTGTGATAAACACCCAAGCATATATTTTAGGCAAGAGCTTAAGGACTTAAGTACAATAGTCTTAAGGATTAAAGTACAATAGTCTTCCTTTTCCATTTTCACTTTCCATGGTTTGTTACCCAAAGTCAACCTTGGTCCAAAAACATCAAAAGGAAATTCCAGAAACAAACGACTCACAAGTTTAGACTGAGCGCCATTCTACGTAGCATGAAACATTGTGTCGTCCCACTCTGGCTCCCCCAGGTCATGAACCATCACCCCCTCACCCAGCGTCTCCACTTGCACACGCTCCCCACCCAGCCCTCACTCAGCAGCTGTCTGGGTCATCAGATCGACTGCCGAGGTGCCACAATACTTGTGTTCAAGTACCCCTTCGTTTACTTTATGTTGGCCCCAAAGCAAAACAGTAACGATGCTGGCAATTGGGATGTGCCAAAGGGAAGCCCGGAAGTACTTCCTTTGAGTGAAAAGGTATGTATTTATAGGAAAAAGCATAGTATACATAGGGCTCAGGACTAACTGTGGTTTCGGGCACCCACTGGGAGTCTTGGAACGTACTCCCCTTGGAAAAAGGGGAGCTGTTGTACTTAACTTTTCCACAAGAGATTTACTCCTAAAAGGCTGTATCACTGATTGCTAAAAAATGTGTAGCCGAAACTGGTTTGGCTCAGTGAATAGAGCGTCGGCCTGCAGACTGAAAAGTCCCGGGTTCGATTCTGGTCAAGGGGGCATGTACTTTAGTTGCGGGCACATCCTCGTAGGAGGTGTGCAAGAGGCAGCTGATCAATGATTCTCTCTCATCGATGTTTCTAACTCTCTATCCCTCTCTCTTCTTCTCTGTAAAAAAATCAATAAAATATATTTTTTTAAATGTGTATTTACATCTCATTTTTATTATTACACACTATGTAATATTATTTACATATTTATGTGTATCTATAGTATAATGTACACACATTAATATAAATTATGTGTGTGTGTGTGTGTATATATATATGTACACCTTTATAGACTATGTGTGTATGTCTATAGATTAAAGCAAGTTTTATCTCTAAAAGTTTAGAAAAAGATCATCTTGAGAACATTATTCCCCAAATTAGGTGAAATAGTAGCAGTAACTTCAAACTAAAAATCTATGAAACCTCAAATATTTCAAATTAATGCATTCTTCCTCTTAAATTTCCAATGCTTTTCTGAGGATTTAGAAAAGTTTAATTAGAAAACAGACTTTCAGTATAAAACTACCATGTTTCCCCAAAAATAACACATCCTCCGAAAACAAGATCTAGCACATGGAAAAATAAGACATCCCTTGAAAATAAGACCTAGCGCAACTTTGGGAGAAAAAATTAATATAAGACACTGTCTTATTTTCGGGGGAAAAGGGTACTATCTACTGCAGTATAGTTAGCTCTTCTTTAAACCAAAACTATCTCCCTCAATATGAATGTCTTTTTTTTTAAATTCTCACCTGAGGACATGTTTTTACTGATTTGAGAGAGGAAGTGGGGCAGAGAGAGAGAGAAGAAACATCAGTTGCCTCACGAATGTACCCCAATTAAGGATCAAACCCGCAACCTACATATATGTCCTGACCGTGAACAACCTTTTGGTGTATAGGATGACCCTCCAATCTACTTAGGCACCCAGCCAGGGCCAAATGTGTCCTAATTAGAATAAATAAACATCGAACAAAACATTTTTAAATAGCCAACATCTTTTTATATTTAACTAGAGGCCCGGTGCATGAAAATTCATGCACTAGAGGGAGGGGTCTCTCAGCCCGGTCTGCCTCCTCTCACAGTCTGGAGTCCTCAAGGATGGGAGGCGACCCAATGATCAGGGGAAGGCGATGCCCCCATCACACCTCTGCTGCTGCCACTGCCAGCAGCGCAAGCCTCAGCCGGCCCTGGTTACCTGAGTCTCGGACTGGCCCTGGGTGGCTGGGCAACCGCCATCCTAGGCTTTTCTATTGATATTCAATAGAAAACCATTCACCTAATTTGGGGAATAATGTTTGAGCCTCGGGCTGGCCCTGGACAGCTGTGGAGCTGAGGGGACTGGGCGACTCCAGAAGCAGGCACGCGGAGAGGATGGACCCTCCTGGGGGAAGGCCCGGCCCTGCTGCACACCTGCCACCCCAGTGGGGCTGTGGGGACCTCCATCTTTGAGAGTGTGGCAGTCAATTAGCATATTCTCTCCTTATTGGTTGTGGGTGTTGCCATCTTTGTGAGGGTGTGATGGTCAATTAGCATATTCCCTCTTTATTATATAGGATGAAATACATAAACATCAAGTATTCTTATTCAGAACTGTACTGACTTAAATACTCGGCGTGTATCTTCTACCTGAAACAAAAATCCAATGTTACTTACCAGAATGAGTACTACTTTTCAGTTCCTGCATTTGCACAATTGCAGCAATCTGAGAACGGAGAGAAGCTAGCTCATCTTCAAGGGCAGCAATTTTTTTAATTGCAGCTTCATTTACAGGCTGAGAGCTTTTCGTTGGTTTGTTATGTCTTAGACAAGGTGAGTGTGGATCCTGAGCTAGTTGCAAAGGATGGAAAACCTCAGTTTCCTCTTCCTCATTTTTCCATATACCATTTCTGTGGGTGCAAAGAAGGAAGAAATGGGGATGGAGAGGGGGAGATGGGGAGAGGGTAAGGGAGGGAAGGGAGATTTTCCAAAAAGAATAAATTATTTCAGTCCAAGAGGAATATGGACACCAAGACAAAATCAGAGTAGCACTCTGTATCCCATGACTTATCTCTAGACTTGCTGGGGACAAACACAACATCTTATGTAACTGTGTATTCTCAGTATGTAGAACAGAAATTAACCTTTAACAGGTGACCATTAAATGGTCAGTGAACAAAGGAACAAGCCCTGCTTTCAGACTAAAAATAATTATCCTATAGCCGAAACCGGTTTAGCTCAATGGATAGAGCGTCGGTCTGTGAACTGAAGGGTCCCAGGTTCGATTCCGGTCAGGGACATGTGCCTTGGTTGCGGGCACAGCTTTAGTGGGGGGAGTGTGCAGGAGGCAGCTGATCGATGATTCTCTCTCATCAATGTTTCTAACTCTCTGTCCCTCTCTCTTCCTCTCTGTAAAAAGTCAATAAAATATATTAAAATAATAATAATAATAGTAATTATTATTATTATTCTGTAACTGTTCTGCCTATTCATTTTAAACACACAAGTTGTTTCATTTAGAAATTCTGTGTTCTGAGTACACAGTACTGAAAGGCCTTATATTCAGTACAAAGTTAAGAGTAAATTTATGGTATTCTAATTTTTTGAAAATTGATAAACCAGTTTGATATGTCAAATATTTAGTCATAGTGTTTCAATAATTGACCCTGGTTGTGCTTATAGCCTGCATCTGAATATACTAATCCATGCTAGTATCCCCTAGAAGAAAACACATACAAATGTTGAAATAATGTTTAACATCATTGCCTGTAAGAAGTAGGTAAGTTTTGAATGAATATATGAAATAAAATAAACCTAGTTGCCTATTGTAGGAAATAGCTTTCTCATAAATATAAACATAGTGACTATGATACTGTTTTAATATCATTCCATCCTTGGCCTGGTGTCAGGTTTAAACGTTCAGTAAGAAAAACTGGCTAAACATGAGGAACAAGCAGTCATCCTCATTATTAGGGAAATATTAGTCGGACACAACGCAGCAGAGAGACAGACAAAACAAAAAGGCCCACTGAGTCTGAACTTGCATACGTCCAAGAATTCAGATTACAGCCCATACCCCACCTTCCAAGATAAGTATATAAATTTACCGAAATCTGAGACAAATGGGTTCTTCCTCATTTGCCACACACAAAATATCAGCAAAGGATGGAACTGCAGAGCCACAGTTACCAGAGTCTACAGAGTTCAAGAATGGGATCAGCTAAAAGAGAAAAGGAAAACAAAGTCAGAGCTCTGTAGAGAGTGGGGCAGAGACACATGCCATGGAAATTAAATAAATTAAAAATCCAAGAGGGAAAAGGGATGTTCAATAGAAAACCATGCACTGATAAGTAAGAAAAAATACTGAGGAAAAAATTATTCCAAAGTCCATACATGTAGCAATATTCTCTCCCCTGGTTAATGTCATCTATCATAAATCACAAACTAGAAGAATAAAATACTTGGTATTGCTCTGCACCTGCCCACGTTTGAATGTAATTATTTAAAGAAATAAACACAAAAACATATGTGAAATGACTTGTTTCCAAGGATAAAAGTTTTTGCAGGAAATATTTATTCTTTTGTCTATCCTGAATTTCTTGGGTTACCTATACATACATACCTATGCATATCTTTTATACATAGTGATTAAACATTGCGTGTTGACTGACATACCTCAAAATCAGGCCTGCAACAGGCTTCTAAAGGAAGAATTTTCCCAATAATACGAACAATACTCCGACCTGATCCATAATCTTTGTTTCCCCAAATCTGCAAAACCTATTGAAACATAAGAAGTTTTATGTTTTAAAAAGTATTCTAAAGTATGATTATATATCTAATGTAAAAGATGCAATCACATTTTTTATTTTTTTTTTAAAGAAAATACAGCCCTAACCGGTTTGTTTCAGTGGATAGAGCATTGGCTGCGGACTGAAGGGTCCCAGGTTCGATTCCAGTCAAGGGCACAAACCTTGACCTTGGTTGTAAGCACATCCCCAGTGGAGTTGTGCAGGAGGAAGCTGATCAATGTTTCTCTCTCATCAATTTTTCGAACTCTCTATCCCAATCCCTTCCTCTCTGTTGAAAAATCAAAAAATTTTTTAAAAATAAAATAAATAAAAGAAAATACAGAATGATGTTCTCAAAGTCTTGTCTTCAAAGAATTACACCAAACCAAATCTCAATTCAGACATTTCAAGCAATTAAAGGTGATACCTGGCCAGTGGTGTCCACAGTGAACAGTGTGGTCTAAAGGATATAGATACCAGAGCTATTGACACTAGAATCTCTGCCACCTGAGCAATTACATTTAAAGTGTCCTGCTACCATGCATGTGTGCCCTCCCTAAGAACCACAGGCCTAGAGGCTTCACTACAGTGAGGCTACGTACTACACGTCAATAGTCACCTTATTCTTAATTCACTTGAATGTTACCTTCATATCTTGCTCTGCAATTTCCATCCTGACAAACTTCTACCTCCTAATTCTCATTCCTTCATTGCCATGATCATCTTCATCATTTTTATGATTTCACCTTCCATTCCTGATCTAGGACCCTCATTTTTTTTTAAATTAATCTTCACCTGAGGATATGTTTACTGATTTTAGAGAGGTAGGAAGAAAGGGAGAAAAAGAGAGAGAAACATTATCAATGGTTGCTCCTATATGTGCACGGCTCAGGGATGGAACCTGTAACTTTTTGGTGTATAAGATTATCGTCCTTTTTTTTTTTTTTTCCTGATTGATGAGAGAGAGAGAGAGAGAAAGAGAGAGAGAGAGAGAAGAGATATTTGTTATTTCACTTATATATGCATTCTTTGGTTGATTCTTGTATGTGCCCTGACTAGGGATCAAACACAGCCTTGGCATATTGAAAAAATGCTCCAACCAACTGAGCCATCTGGCCAGGCCCCTCATTTTGACTTGACTGACTTTTATACCAAGCAGGGATTTTCAAGCTGTCTCAGTGATATGCTCTCAAAAACGGCTCATCCTTTCGTTATGTGTTCTCATATTACTAATGGATAAACTACCCCCACTACAACCATATTTACAGAGATTACTCTGCACAGGTATTCTGAAACCCCTTCATAACATGTTATGTTTGCCCAAAGTAATTGCCAATCTCTGAAACCCCCAACACCACACTTTAATCACCAAGTGGTCTCACCTCTCCTATCATTGAGAAAATCGAGGACTATGATTTGATATAGTCACTCCTCTCCATTCAAAATCTCCCCACCTTCTCTCACTTTCATTCTACTCTTCACTGTCCAGCTTCTGTCCAAGGCTTATTTATTTATAGGCTCTGCCCAAGTACCTTTATCAGGGCATTGCTCAATCACTCTCATTTGTATCTTAAATATTTTCCTGTCTATAAGGGTCTTTCCCCAGTGCGTGCAAACATGATGAAGTTACTTCTAACACTGAAAAGAAAACTATTCATTCCTGCTGCTCCTTCAAATGGATGGCCTCTCTTGATTTCTTTTCACAAACTTTTCAAAAGAAGATTGCTGCCAAAACCAGTTTGGCTCAGTGGATAGAGCATCGGACTGAAAGGTCCCAGGTTCGATTCAGGTCAAGGGCATGTACCTTGGTTGCGGGCACATCCCCAGTAGGGGGTGTGCAAGAGGCAGCTGATCGATGATTTTCTCTCATTGATGTTTCTAACTCTCTATGCCCCTCTCTCCCTCTCTGTAAAAAATCAATAAAATATACTTAAAAAAAAAATCCCAAAACTTAAAAAAAAAAAAAAAAAGAAGAAGAAGAAGAAGAAGAAGAAGATTGCTGATGCCACTACCCTTGCTCAGTTGAATATCCAACTATTGGCCGTTCCGGGCCTGGTCGCTTCTGGCCTGGCCGCTGCTGTTCTGGGCCTGGCCGCTCCCGACCCGGCTGAAGCAGCCGGGTCCAGAGCAGCCGGGTAGGGAGCAGCCAGGCACAGAGCAGCACCAACCAAGCCCGGAGCAGCCAGGTCAGGAGCGGCCAGGCCTGGAGTGGCCGGGCCCAGAGCAGCCGGGCCCAGAGCACCCGGGTCGGGAGCAGCCAGGCCCAGAGCAGCAGAAACCAAGCCTGAAGCAGCCAGGCCCGGAGCGGCCGGGCCCAGAGCAGCTGGGCCCAGAGCACCCAGGTCGGGAGCAGCCAGGCCCAGAGCAGCAGCAACCAAGCCTGAAGCAGCCAGGCCCGGAGCAGCCGGGCCCGGAGCAGCCGGGCCCGGAGCAGCCGGGTCAGGAGCGGCCAGGCTCGGAGCAGCAGCAGCCACGCCTGGAGCAGCCAGGTCAGGAGTGGCAGTGGCCAGACCCAGAGCAGCTGGTTGTGGAACGGACCAGAGCAACAGAGGCCAGGCCTGGAGCAGCCAGGCCCGGCACAGCTCACTCCTCGCTTGCCCCCACCCCAAGGCTGCCTCTCAGACATGGCTGGAAACTTTTGGGGGAACTTGAGGGTCTGCTGAATCAAGTGATGAAGGCTTAGATCTGGATGTGTTGAGTTAGTATAGGGCTGGGGTGTTGATCTGTGAGTGCCTTGGGTGGGGCCTGGATGAGGTTGGTTGATCTATTTGGAAATGGCTTTTGTGTGAAGTGTATCCTTGGACATGTGGAGGTATTATTATTTTGAGAAAATGCTAAGTAACTGATTTACTATCTGAAAAATTTAAAGTTCTGAAAGTTTAAGGTCTCTTGCCAAAAAGAGGTTTTAAAGCTAACACCTTAATTTTAATGGAGAAAGGGAATGACAAGCCCTTCCCACCCAGAACAGGTAATCCAATTCCAACCAGCAGCTAGGTTTAAATGATGTGTCCATTTACACTTGACTGGCTACACCTTTTGATAGCCTAAGGGCAAGTTTACATGTAAATAAGTTTGCTCTCAATTCCCAGAGCAGGAAAAAAAAAAAAACACAAGGATTAAAATTATTAGATTTTATAATTTATTCTTAGAAGTGTAAAAGTTTATTAATTGAATATCCAACTACTGAAATCCCCGAAGGCACCAATAATAGAATGACAAATCTACAACTATTACTCAGTCCTCGTTATCTTCAACATCACTATTTCTGAAATTCAGAATGCTTCAATGAAATCTTCCATTATATCATTAAAGTCCATCAGGTCAAATCTCAAAATAACAACAATCTGAATCAAGTCTTTTCTTTCTTACATTCTAGGGACATCTATCCCATTATCTGCAGGATGTCTGTACTTATCTATTCTAACAGCACAGCTGGCTGACCTTATCTCACTACTCAAACTAGTTCCTCATATTGAGTTGCCTATTTATTATAATGACATCATCATTCTTCAACTTTCTTTTACTTAAAATCTTGAAATTATCCTTGACTACTCTTTTCTAATTCACATACTAAATAATCTATTCTATAAACCCCTCCCCCTACTATTTGTGTCTAATATTCAGTCTTGTATCGTACTTATTTGCAATGTTGGCTAGTCCTCATATTTTTAAACACCATAAATATAAGAACTATGTATTGCTATTCTGTATCAACTGCCGAACAAAGTATATTGTCTTAGATGTAATAAATGTTCAGTAAGTAGACAAAACTGGATTTGCTTTTCATTCTCAGACAAATCATCCTCTCTCCTTCTGACTTACTCTGAATATTTTGAGCTATAACTTGCCATTTACCTTAACAAAATGATTAGATGATTAAAAATTTACCTATGCAACAAAAGGAATTCCGTGAAGGTTATGGCTATATTTTGTTTGCAACTTTTGTTGGCATTTGACCTATTAGGTAAATAGGTTCCTAATAATAATATCCTTTTTTTAAATCAAACTACCAAAGGTAAACTATTGCACACTCACTGTAGTTGCACCTATTTCACCAGAATGTTTACATATAATTTTTCAAAATGAGACCCAAGAACAAATACAAAAGGTTCATTCAAATCCATTAAAAAACATTACCTGGTCCATGTGAACACCGAAATATCCCAGTATCTCTCTTAAGATATTCAATATGAGAGACATTGATGAAGCAAACGCAGAAGCAAATTCAAGGAAACATTATCAGTTTCTTGATACCTTCAGCCAAAAAAAAAACAAACAAAAACAGAGAATGTTACTCTTAACAAATAAACAGCTGCCGTATAAATTGTATGAAATTAACTGGAAATCCTATCATTACATATTACACCATCAATTAATCTCTTCAGGCCAGCATTATTTTGAAGGACGTCAAAGAGAAAGGGAATGGCCGAAACCGGTTTGGCTCAGTGGATAGAGCGTCAGTCTGAGGACTGAAGGGTCCCAGGTTCAATTCCGGTCAAGGGCATGTACTTTGGTTGCAGGCACATCCCTGCTGGGGAGTGTGCAGGAGGCAGCTGACCCATGTTTCTCTCTCATCGATGTTTCTAACTCTCTATCCCTCTCCCTTCCTCTCTGTAAAAAAAATCAATAAAATATATTTAAAGAGAGAGAGAGAGAGGGAATGGGGATTGGGGAAGGCTTGGTAAAGGAAGCTTCAACTTATCAGTTAAATTGCATTACAAGTTCATAGGGTGTTTAAGCCTAATAAATACCAATCAACAGCAGGCGGGACACTTAGCAGAGAAGCTCCCTCGGACCTGACAGCTGTGGACGGGTTCGGGAGAAGGATGTGTTCAGCCCGCCCTTGAAAGCAAAGCAGGGAGCCCACACGGATGCATTTTAAAGAAATGCACCTCCTCGCCCATTTGAAAGGAAAGGAACGTGAACCCCAAACCGGTGACTCCACTTAGTCACCCAACTAGTAGGTAACTGGCCGAGACTAGCTCTCAGTGCTCCCTCGCTCTGGCCGCATGAATCCTCGGGGGGCTCCCCTAACCAGCAGAGTCGCCTCGCTCACCTTCCTCCGAAGCCGAGCCCCCGGCCCACTCGGGAGCACCGAGGGGCGGTCGTTGAGGAACACGGCCTCGGAATCCTCAGGCGACTAAGCCCGACGAGCGCTCGAGCTGGTTCGGGAACGCTCGGACCCGTGTCCGCCCGCGCGCCTCGGCCTGCGGGCCGCCGGCGGGAACAACGCCCCCCGCGACGCGGATCTGGACCCCGGAGTCCTCCCGCCGCCCGGGAACTCCACCTGCTCCCCGGTCCCGCTACTTCCGCGTCCCTGGGCCAAAGTCAAACTCCGCGGGCCCTAACTTGCGCCAGATATGATTGGACAAGGCTGAAGATTGCTGCTCGTGATTGGTTGTACGATAACCAATCAGGTTACTGTTATTTGGACAGCCTACTAGGGTATTTCTTAAGAGGGCGGGCTTTCCGCGAGACAACCAATAGAAACCATAGGCAGCTGGTGGGCGGGGCAGGCTGCACGGGGACGCGCGTGGCGTCCACAGCCGGGCGTTATGGAGTCATTTGGGGCCCTTGAGCCAGGCCCGCGGTCCGAAGTTCCTGCTCCACAGAGATCTGCGCGGCAAAGTCTGCCACCCCTCCCCCCAGACCGGAAAGGGGGCCCCCTCTCCAAGGTCGCTGGCCTTTTATTATTGTTTGATCTTGTATTCGTTCAATGAGTGAATATATGCGTATGGGACTAGAGCAGGAGCTCGGCACTGCCCTCGAGGCATCTGCAGCTTTGCAGGACCCAGAATGTTCGTTCACCAAACGCTCCTGGTCATCCAGGCTGCCAAGTACGGGCTGGACACTGATTGGCCTCGCCGTGGATGGCAAAGGGATCACTAAGTCGTGACAGGTGATATTCCAGTTTTCAGTTCTGATCTGAGGTTATCGGCTTCATAAGAGACAACAGCTTTCTCTTCTCGTACTTTGGCGAGGGATGAATTAGTTATATAGCCTAAGATCAAGTGTGCTTGGGGAATTGAGGTAAGGTCCTTTACCTTCAAGTGGAGACCCGAAAGGGGCTTTCTCTGAGCACCATATGCAAAGAGCATCTCTCCACTCTCCTTCCTACTTTTCTTTAAAGCACTTGTCACCATGTATAGTGCACGGTGGGACAAAAATTACTGTTGTATGTGAAAGTTTATTCTTGTATTATTTTCCATCCAAACAACTGTAGACCTACTTTTTGCCTGGCCCTGTATTTATGCTACCCCTGCAGCCAAACTAAACTGCGAACTCCAGAACAGGAGCTTTGTTTTAACCCCTGCTGTATCTTCAGTGCTTTAGAGGCCTTGTACTTATCTATAATAATAAAAGGGTAATGTGCTAATTAGGCCAAATAGACTGTCTTCCGGACGTGATGATTAGGGGCGATCAGGCCAGCAGGGGAGAGCAGTAAGGGGCAATCAGGTAGGCAGGTGAGCGATTAGGAGCCAGCAGTCCCAGCTGAGGGACACACCATGCTCCACCCCCCCCCCATGCATAAATTTTGTGCACTGGACCTCTAGTATATAATAAGCATTTAACCAATTTGCTGAATAAAATAATTGGATATGAAATGAGAAAACAATCACCAAGTATGGTTTGCAATTAAGCAACTGGTAGAATACTAGTGACTGTAAATGACAGGCCCAGATCTTCTCAGAAAAAAATTTGTCTATATTAAGATGGAAGTAGGGGCAGAAAAGTTTCAAGCAATATATAAGGCAAATGGATAAGCCATACTACATGAAATTAGTAAATTACAATATTCTCAATATCCCTTGCCCTTCTCTTTTGCCCTCAGAAGTAATTATCTTAACACCTTATCCCATTCCAGTGTGATATCAAACAGCACATAATAGTGGCCAGAACAAAAGCATCCCTTGAAAACTTAACAGGAACCAAAACTAACACGTCCTTCAGCTGCACTATTAATAGAACTCAGCGTTCAGCTCTGAATTAGAAAAGAGATGGGCCCACGTCAAATGCTACAGCCCCCATAAATGCTTTGTTGACTTCCTCCCAAAATTATTTTCTCAGACTCTTTCTTCATTTTGTTTACTAAAACATTCATTCATACTACATCTACATACACCTTGATAATCTTGAGATTTGACATTTTTTTCAATTGTTTATTTTTATGTGAAATTATTTTTCTCAACTTTGAGAATGCATTATTCAGAAAAGCTTCTGACTTTAATGGAGCTATATTTTTATTTTTTTTTACTGATTTTGACTAATGTTCAGAAATATGGTTGGTGGCTTGCTTTCTAAAACTTTCCTAGCCATATTCCCCTCAAGTTTAATCTAGTCTTTTTCATCTATTGTCTCTTTCCTGCTGAAATTTTATTCAATTTTCAGTACTTTCTTGTCAGTATGAGTCTGGTCTCTAAAATGCAGTTTTGTATTGGCAGGTCCATTTTGAGATTTCACTGGGTTACACCACTCCTTTCCTTACAGGGTACCTTGCACTATTAGGGGGAAAAAACCTCATTTCAGCTGGCTGATGTGGGACTTCCCATTTCTCATCTATCAGATGTTATCCCAATTCCTCTCCTGGCACAGAAATCAATACCAGGCAGATTAGTGGTTTTCCCCCCTTTGCTGATATTTGGGGGTTCATGAGAACAGCTTCTCATCTAGTTTAATTGCAAATGCCATCCATAGTTTTTGGTTTGGTAAGTAGGTGTGTTTTTTTAGAACCAATAATATATGATCTGAATCCTCAAGACCAAGAATTAATTAACCTATGCACTCATTGCCAGGTATACTTTTTCAGTGAATTAATGGAGAGAAGCTGAGGGCTAAATTGGACCGAGACTAGGAAAATGTGTATTATGTCTTGCAAACTACCCAGAACTCCATTAGCCTTGTGACCTATACCTAACTTTTAAATAAACTCAAGTTACTGTAATTATCCTATATAATAGTGGTGATATGCAAATTGACCATCATTCCAACACATAAGATGGCCATCCCCATGTGGATATAAGATGGCTGCCACAAGATGGCCAGCAAGGGAGGGATGTTGGGGGCAACCAAACCTGCAAGGGAGGGCAGTTGGGGGGTGACCCAGCCTGCAGGGGAGGGCAGTTGGGAGAAACCAGGCTGGCAGGGGAGGGCGGTTAGGGGCAATTGGGCCGGCAGGGAAGCAGGCATCAATAGTGCTATCAGGGGAGTGGTTAGAGGGTGATCAGGCTGGCAGGCAGTTGGGAGCCAGCAGTCCTCGATTATGAGAGGGAAGTCTGACTGGGATCTAGCCCAAATGGGCAAGTCAGACATCCCTCGAGTGTGCAAACTGGGCTGAGGAACACCAATGCATGAATTTCATGCACCAGACCTCTAGTCTTAAATAATGGAGCAGAATACAACATACTACCAAAGTATGTAATAGCCTCTTTGACCTTAACCATAAGTCTCATGAAGGATGATCTCCATAGTGGGATGTACATGCCCATAAAATAATTTTTATAACTCCAAAAAGAAAAAACTTAGGGCCTTTTTCCTTGTTGTGTTTATGCTTGAAGCCTTTCAGGGTATTGACATAGTAGTGACATAGTAAATTTAAACAGACCAGTGCTATTTAAATTTACACACTTCTTAAAGGGTCATTTAAACTCTATATTCATTCAGAAATTTGAGAGATAAAGACCAAGATTTTCCTTGATATTAAAATGTTTCAAATTAAAATCTGAAATTTTCCTTTATTTCTATTGCCAATTAAAATGATCAAGTAATGAAAAACAGAGGACTATTACTTATATCTAAATTGCTATTTACTTGTAATATGAAAATTACAAAAATCTAAGTTAAATATTTATAGCATAAAAGCAGATTTTGAAACTTTAATTTATATAAAAGCAAGCCTAGATTATGCTTAGTGTTTGAATCCATAAGTCTTGTTTTAACTATTTTTTAACAAAATTTATACTATAGCTAGACCTCTCGAAAAGAAAAAGAAAAAAAAAGGTTAACCATGTTTGATTTTCCTGATTTCATTTTTTTAGATTTGTGACTTGATTCTGTAATCTGTTTCCTAATTCAGTCATATGCTCACAAGTAGAAATGCTTTGACTCTTATCATTCACTTAACTAAAACCTAGAATACAGGAAAAATAGTCAAAAGAATGTTCTGCTAGTCTTCTGGATCATTCAAAGAGAACATCAGTACT